GACACAGGCTCCCTGCAGGAGCCTGATGCGGGACTGGATCCTAAAACTCTAGGATCATGTCCTGAGCTGAAGGCAGACACTCAACTGCTGAGCCATATAGCATCCCTTGCCTAAAAAGTTTCTAATTAGGAGTTAGGAACCATCTAGTTAAATAGAGGAAAATAGTTCACAAACAAATTTTTATCACTAACATCTTGGAAGCTTCTAATATAAACTGTTCTTTTTTTCTGTCTCTTCCATAGGCTTATATTGCTTCTGGACTCTTCTAATTATCCATATTCTCCAAGTAAATCTTCTGTCCTTGGATCCCTTAATGCCCTACTTAATCTGCCATTTGTATGGTGATGACACCCAATCTGTATCTCTGGGCTGACTTTTCTTTGGAGTAATAGACCTGTATTACTAGTATCACCCTGGATATCCTTACCCGAATGTCTTTTAGACGCCCTAATGTTACAAGTAGAATTCATTATTTCTATTGAACCTCTATTCCCCATTCTCCCAAAAATCCCTCCAGAGGTCGAGAGGTAAGTAAGATTTCTTCCTCACCCTCTCTGTCCACACCAATCTCTGATGTTGCTAATTCCATGTCTATTTGAGATTTTTCTTCTTCATACATAGTACCTGTCTCATCATTTCATCACCAGTTCTCCTGTTTTATCACCACTTTGGTCTTGCTCTTTTCCAAACCATCCTCCATAATGAATTCAGAGTTTAATTTTTTTTTTTCTAACAGTTAAACACTTTTTGACTGTATGATATATGTATAAGGTTCAAAACCAAAAAGTTAAGTGTAAATATGGGAAAGTCTGCCCTTTGCACCTGACTTCTTGATCACCATTTTCCCTTACCAAAGGCACCCATAGCCATCAATTTCTTTAGTAAAAGTAATTCTAAAATGCACCTACTTTATATCTTCTGTGGTTCATCACTCCATAACGTCCAAATTGAGAAGTACATATGAGGATTTTTCAGGATTTACTGTTTGTCTTTTGTTTCTTCTAACAAATCCCTCTGTACATCCAGATTTCATCCCCTGTATCTACTTTGTTTTCCCTGAAAAGCCTAAGGCTTCTTTCCCTCTGTGATTTTGCATATGCTCTTCCCTCTGCCTGGGATGCCTTGTTCCCCATGTTTTCTCACACCCTGTGCCATCCTTCTTTGAGTACAGTGCAATACCCCTTGCCCTTCCCCTAAATATATTCAAGTTGAAGCTTTATGGACCTCCACAGATAAAGGTTATGCCTTCCCTTCATTCAACCCCTTTTAAAGGACCATAGAGTGGGGCACCTGGTTGGCTCAGTTGGGGGAGCATGCAACTCTTGATCTTGGGGTTTGAGCCCCATTTTGGGTGTAGAGATTAAAAATAAAATTTTTTAAAAAAGGACCATACATATGTCTTTATTGTAGCACCTAGGACATTGCTTTGCCATGTTGAAAGCAGTATTGTGTTCCTTTGTCTTTTGAGTCCTTAGAGTCTAGCAAACTAATACCTACTTGTTTAATAAATATTTAATATTAGTTACAATGTAACTACAACTAAGGTAAGGCCCTATTAGGCTGCATTAAGAGAAGTATAGTGCTCAGAATTTTTAGTTCTGGACACCATATTTAGAGAGAGAGAGAGAGAGACTGAAGAAGTGTAATATCCACCTGTCAGTGTACAGTTCACTAACACTGTGATGGCCTTAACAAGAAAAGACCAAGAGAATGCACAGCTCTCATAGGATCCCTGAAGGGCCGGAGGGGAAACAGCTGACAACTACTTAACTTCCTCCTGAAACCCAAGGTTCTCCAACAGGGTGTTGGGTCATTGTGGTTATGTCTTCATCAGTGCTGAGATGTACTGCAACTTATTTGTACTTATAAAAGCTGAACTACTGAAATCTGAAAACAGTTTACCTTTCCCCTCCCTCCTAAATTAGTGTGGAATCAAGGTCACTTCTGTAAAGTCACTCCTGCCCACTTACATTCCAATCTACTTGGCTTGAGAAAGGGGTAGAGTTACAACAGATGGGTCTGGAAACTGGGTGTAAACCAATTTGCTTATCTTCACTTCTAACCCGGGAGAATGTTGAGCATGTGAATACTATCTGAGTAGGAGGAAATAGAGAACAGTCATCCTAGACTATGAGCTCCTCCAGGGTAAGGGATTCCTCCATGAATTTTCATTTTGTATTTATCTACAGGGTCCGGCAGTGTTTGAAGAAGAAATGAGCGAGGGTTTGAGCATGGATCAATGCGAGGATGAAAGAGAGCGTGCAGGAAAATGTGACCAAAACTTGAATGAAGGAAAGAGAAAAAGCAAGCGATTAAAGAAGGCTTATTTACCTTCTTAGAAATTGTTAACTGAATTCAGTTTTTAATCATAAGGAAAAAAAAAAACAGCAATAAAAGCTGCTTAAATAGAGACTATGGAAGACCAAATAAGGTGACCTCTAAGTTCCCAGTCAAGCCTTTTTGATCCAAGATTCTCCGTTTTATTTCCCCAGTAATGCCTTTGAGTAAATGGTCGCATTTAATGAATATATATTAAATAAAACTATGATCTAAAATATTAGAACAGAAGCAAACTGATGTTTCTGTTAAAAAAAACCCATATAATTTTCTTAATTGGGTTTTCATAGTTTCGTGAAGAGATTGCCCATTGGTTTGCAAAATGCAGCTTCAGTTTGCTCCTTTGTAAAATGTTTTGTGGCTCAACCACACACGACTGAGGTACCTTGTGATTCTTTTTTCTTTTAGGTTAAAAGAAATAACAGAACTTTGCTAGGTTGAACTCTAGACATGATGCAGATTTAAAGTAATTTAAGATGATACTTCAGGGTAAGGAATTAAAGTTTTTCTTTTTCTATGAGAATCCAGTAATCTATTTCCGCTTTGTAGAGATCCAAGATGCCTGAGCTGCAGAAACTCAGGAGGCAACAAGTAAAGATGAAGAGACCACAGAGCAAAAAAACAGTTACCACTGCCCACTCCCCAAGTATGTTAGTAACCAGACTTCTTAACTTTATGGTCCTTCAGAATATGTGCAGTCCATAATACATCAGAAACTGATTATCCGAGGCTAGTTGTAACTGATGATGTAATTCTAAACTCAAGCTTTTGCTTCTCTTGCAGTATTTAATGCATGTTGTTTTGCTTTCATAAACAGAATATAACAGTCAGACGAGCTGGGTAACTTTGATTAGGAACAAAAAGGATAATACTTTTAGTCTTACTTTTTTATATTATTTTCTCGATGGGTTCAACTCTGTCCATTGACACTGGCCCAGATGCTATCACACTGCAAAACTGAGATCGTATCTTGTTTTTTTGGACACTTCACTTTGCCCACGTCAGTGGAATTCAACTGAGTAGTGAACTGGCTTAAACATTTAACACAGGGACGCCCGGGTGGCTCAGCGGTTGAGCACCTGCCTTTGGCTCAGGGTGTGATCCCAGGATCGAGTCCCACATCGGGCTCCTTGTGGGGAGCCTGCTTCTCCCCCCGCCTGTGTCTCTGCCGCTCTCTGGGTCTCTCCTGAATAAATAAGATCTTTAAAGAAATTTAATACCAACAAGCATATTTCACCCGCCCCCCCCCCCGTGACAGGCCACATCCCATTTGTATAGATGATAGACTAAATTGCACTCATCCCAAGTACGATAAATATTTGTCGGCTGACTTGGTTGATGCAACCATAAGCCTCGACTTCAGTTCAAAGTCCACATTTTACCGGAAACCTAAACATGTTAATTCCTACGTGTGTAACATCCCATTCCTGAGCACACGTACCGTTCGCACGATTCCCAACCGGCCCTTTCCCACGGGGCTTGCCTGGGGAAGGGAACTTGAGAAAGGCCTCCAGAGGCAGGAAGGCCCGACGACGCCACCCGGGCTGTCGAGGCGCCCAACAGCAACCGACGGGCTCACAGCACCAAGCGCAGCCGCAGCCGCAGCCGCAGCGGGACGGGTGCAGAGAGAGGGGGCCCCGTCGGAGACGCCAGGGGCACCTCCCGGTGGCTTTTCAGGTCCATCCGCGCCGCAAAAATGGGCAGGCTGGGAACCGGTGACCCCGCGCAGTCCCCGGCCGCGTCCCGCCGCCCGCCCGGCCCCGCCCTGGGCGCCGCAGGGAGAGCGGCCCCCTCCCCGGGAGTCGCCGGCAGCGGGGGCCGCCGCGGGCAGGACCGGCCGCTCCGCAGTCCCGGGGGCCCGGGCGGGACGCGGCGGCGCGAGGAACCGGGGCCCCGCCGCCCCGCCAGGGGGAGCGTGCGCGCCGGCGCCGGGGCGGGGGGAGCCCGAGGGGCGGGGGCCCGGCGGGCGCGGCTGGGCGGCGGCGCGGCGGCTCGGAGGCCCGGAGGCCGGCGGCCGGCGGCCCGCCCGCGTCCCCTCCCCGCCCCCCCGCCCCCGGCGCGGCCCTGCCCGCCCCCTCCGCCCCCTCCCGCGGCGCCATGCGCAGGCTCAGTTCCTGGAGGAAGATGGCGACGGCCGAGAAGCAGAAACACGACGGGCGGGTGAAGATCGGCCACTACATCCTGGGGGACACGCTGGGGGTCGGCACCTTCGGCAAAGTGAAGGGTGAGGACCGCGGGGGCGACGGTCGGCGGCGGCCGGCGACCCGCGCGACGCGCGCCTTCCGCGCCTCTCAGCCCCCGCCCCCCGCCCCGGCGTCCCTGCCCGGGCTCGGCAGCCCCCGGCCTGGCGGCGGCGGCAGCGGCGTCCGAGGCCGCGGCGGGACTGCGGCGCGACCCTGCCTGGCCGCGGGGGGGGGGGGGGAGGCGGTCGCCATGGCGACGGCGCCGCGGCCCGAGGGGCTCGGCTGGGCTGGGCTGGGCTGGGCTGGGCGCTGCGCGGCGCGGGGCGGGGCGGGGCGGGGCTGCGGAGGTGCGGGCTTGCCCAGGTGGGGCCGGCGGGGCTGCGCCGCGCTCCGGGGCCGGGCGGGGGTCCGGGCGGGGGGCCCGGGGAGAGGGTTAGGGTTAGCGGGGGCCGCGGCCGCTCCCTCGGCTGCGCGCCGGCCCCTCGCTCCCCTGGCGGCGCCCGGGCCGTCCGTGTTTCCGTCCTCTCTAGGAGGTTCTCCCCTGACCTGCCGGGGCCGATTCTCGAGTGTGCAGCGGGCGCCCCCTCCTCAGCCTCCCCCAGAAAGTAAGCTTGCTTTGGGGGTAGCTTACGGAAATTATTATCGTTTTTTTTTTAAGGGCCGTCTTGTTGGGAAGGATGACTAATTTTTGTTCGGAGCAGTTAATGAATATAAAACTGGTCCTGTATTTGCGATGCACGGTTTATGTTCTGAACGCAGACTCCGTGCCTTCAAGTGTCTCTGAGTTACCAGTTTTGCAGACTCTGTGCCAAACTTGGTAGGTAGTGCAGATGTTGCCCCCAGACGGTATTTATTAGCTCATTGACGTAGTTTGTTTCCATTTATTTTCACAGGATATGTATGTTTTAATAATTTAGCGCACATCATTTGAACCTTTTTAAAGGAAAGTATGGAATCTCTTACCCTTGTGTTTCAACACGATATTCTAGAAATAACACATTTGATCACGAGTCCACCAATTCTGGCACGAAAAGTTCAATTGCAAACTTTGTGAGGCATGAATGTTTTTTCTTTAAGATATTTGACTTATTAGGGATGTAGAGGAAGGAAGCATGAAACCGATAAATAAAATTCATGCATTGGCTTTGGATAAATAACCTAAGACTTGCACATACTAAGCTCTTGGTAAATGTTTGACTTGAAAGAAAAAAAAGTTGTGAAAGTCTGAACAGTGAATTTACTAACTGAGCCTTGCTTTACCGGAGCTAAATAAACATTTTCTGATTTTATCTAGGGATGGAAGAGGAGAACCCTTCCTTCTCTTGCTCTTTCTGAGTCATAGAACTGGAAAATTGCTGTATAGCCCCCAGGGAAGCAACTGCCTAAGCCTTCTTATGAAAATCAGCAAGGCCAACAATGTAAGAAAGTAAGAAGCAAATGCCAGAATAGGGTAATAAGAGCCATCAGGGTGGGTCTATATTAGGCCAGTAAGATGTCTCTGTGCGCTCAAAGTTATTTTTAGCCATGTTGTCAGTCTCTTTACTTGTTAGCAATTACTAACTGCTTTTAGTTGACAAATATTTGTAAGGAGTGCTCATTAATGCCCCAGAATAGTGATGACAGTTTTGATGCCCTTATTCCTCCCAGGGTTCTGCTTGGATTAGGATGCTCATCATTCTAATAAAGACCTGTGTAAAGTCAGGTCTCCTATTCATGTTTGCTAGGTAGCTTTTGGCATGGTGGTAAATAGGAAAGCAAGAGGAAATTTTTCATTTTCTGAATTTGATCTGTGATGTGTCTGTGACAAGAATCCTTCCAGTGAGGGCTGTTCCTTAGCCTTCATTCTTCCACATGTGCCTCTCTTGAATACTAAATACCATCAGCCTCTCCTCTCGTATCATAGAAAAGCTAATATTCATCAAAGAATCAAAGGTTTCATTGATAGGGTTGAATTTGTTCATAAATACATTGGTTGATACTGGTCAGAGTCCTCATCCAGTGCATTTTTAAGTTGTCAAGCAGTTGTGATGCTTTTTGCTCCAAGTATAGTAATAGAAAATCAACCTAGCCAAGAATATCTCTGTGCTTCTCTCCAAAGCACAGAAGCTTCAGCATACCTCTCATGAGTCTCATGGGCTCGTCTAGTCCTTGGGATCTGGGATGCCTTGTGCCAATTGGTTTAGGCTTATGTTCCTAAGTAGGTACTCGCAAGAGAGATAGTGTTACCCGTGGTGGAATATGGCCCACAGTTGAGTGTGTGTGTGGTGAGGGCATCTTCTTCTGATGTACTTAGTGGAGGGAGACAGGGTAAATACCTATACAGAATGGGTATTAATTGTTAGGAGAGAGAAAGGTGGACATAGATGCTCATTTTTTTTTTTTTAATTTTTATTTATTTATGATAGGCACACAGTGAGAGAGAGAGAGGCAGAGACACAGGCAGAGGGAGAAGCAGGCTCCATGCACTGGGAGCCCGACATGGGATTCGATCCCGGGACTCCAGGATCGCGCCCTGGGCCAAAGGCAGGCGCCAAACCACTGCGCCACCCAGGGATCCCCATAGATGCTCATTTGAGCAGGTTAAAACAGCTGTTACAATGGTGGTGTTGGTAACTTACACTAGCCTTAATTTGACAGGAATTCTTACGAATGATATGATTAGCCATGTATTTCAGTGGAGATAGTTTGGAGTAGATAGAGCTTTTAAAATTAGTTACACGTTGGTAAATATAACATAGGAAAGGAATCTAACAGAATATTAGATATTAGATGATATTAATCTACAATATCATCTAATATTAGATGATATTGATACACAGACAAATTCCCACTATGATATATGCTTAGAAGAAATTTTATTTTGGGGGGCGAAGGAAACTATAAATTTGCAGTGATATTTTGTTTCCTATTACAGGCTAAAAAAGTCATTTGGTAACTTAATGATATCATTGTGAGGGGAAAGTTTAAACAGACTACTAAGGTTGGTTTGGGATTATGCTTGAATTATCGTTTATATTTCCAAATTACCTTTTTTTAATCCTGGCTATCAGGGTGTTAGTCTCTATTCCCTTGCAGGGTCCACTCCCCTTTCCCTAGGTACAACAGTTATAAAAGCATGGATGAACAGAGAGTCATGTTACTATTGCAGTAAATTAAAATGGCAGTTTTTGTTAAGTTTTCCAAGAGAAGAGAAGATGGTCTCTTTAGTGGTGTAGGTGGTCTTCGGCAAATGAGTTGTTTATACACGCAACCTATTAAGTTGGGGAGCATTTTTCTACATAAAACTGCAATTTCAGGTAAATAGGTGAATCAGTCACAGTAGAGATTATTTAAAAATTTCTTTAAGGAGGGATGCCTGGGTGGTTTAGCACTTAAAGCGTCTGCCTTAGGCTTAAGGAGTGATCCTGGGACTTGGCGTGATTCTGGAGTCCCAGGATCCAGTCCCACAAGGGGCTCCCTGCAGGGAGCTTGCTTCTCCCTCTGCCTGTGTCTCTGCTTCTGCCTGTCTCTCTCTGTGTCTCTCATGAATAAACAAATAAAATCTTTAAACAAAAACAAAACAAAAATTTCTTTAAGGAGGGCAGTTCTTGGCTAGCTTAGTCAGTAGAGCATGCTACTCTTCTTCATCTTGGTTCATGAGTTCAAGTCCCCACATTGGATGCAGAGCTTACTAAAAAAAAAAAAGTCTTTAAGGAAAAAAGTTATGTATTGTATCTATCTATCTATCTATCTATATCAGTTTAGGTAGTCTCAAGTTTATGAGGTTAGGCCACAAAAACTGAAGAAGTAGAAGAGCATGTACTGTCATGTTATTTATGTAAACTTTAAAGTCATGCAAAAACACCCAAACATTGCTAATGAGAGTAAATTATTGCCACCCCTATAGAGTGTGATAGTATTTATTAAAGTTAGCCCAGCAATTCGACCTCTAGGAATTTATCCTATAGATATACTCCTGTGTGTAGGAAATAATGAATTTATTCATTCCCATATTGTTTATAAATACAAAGGGTTGGGAACAACCTTTCTAGTAGCACAATAGTTAAATTATGGTTATCCATACAATGATATGCCTTGCAAACATTAGAAAAAAACAAGATTTTATATAATTTAGGGAGCAATTTCCAAGGTGTATTTTTAAGAGGAAGAATAAGGGGATAGTAGAACAAATTAGAAGAGAGTATACCTACCATTTGTGTATAAAAAATAGGAGCAAATAAGGCATTTAAGTGTAACTACTTGCATATGTATGGATATACATACCCTTTATTTTATTTTTTTTAATTTTTTTAAATTTTTATTTATTTATGATAGAGAGAGAGAGAGAGAGAGAGAGAGAGAGAGAGGCAGAGAGGCAGAGACACAGGCAGAGGGAGAAGCAGGCTCCATGCACCCGGAGCCCGATATGGGATTCGATCCCGGGTCTCCAGGATCGCGCCCTGAGCCAAAGGCAGGCGCCAAACCGCTGCGCCACCCAGGGATCCCTAAACATACCCTTTAAAGATAAACATGAAACCATTACATTAGTTGTTCAGAGGAGAGGAACTAGGTAGCAGGGGGACATTTCACTATATATCCTTTTGTACTGTTTAATTGTCTGATGCAGGCATTAGAATATATATAAAATTAAATTTGTAGAAATAAACAGGGAAAACATTGTTACAGTATTGCTTATGGGTTCATACAGGAAGGGAAGACAAATACCACATTCGAAGTAGTGGTTACCTTTTGGGAGAGAGAAAGGAGAAAGAGATCTGGGAGGGGCATACAGAGCTTCATTTGCATCTGTGATGTTTTACTGCTTTAGCTAGTGGTGGGTGGAACATGGGTATTTGGTTTGCCTTTTGGGATGCCTGAAATGTTTTGTTAGGAAAACCTGCCTTTCTCAAATTTACACTTATAGCTTTTAAAGCTCACCCCTCTCTAGAATTATTTTCTTTATTCTTGTAGGAGTGAGGTTTTTTGTTTTGCTTTGTTTTTGTTTGTTTTTAAGATTTATATATTTATTTTAGAGAAAGAATGCGAGAATGGGGTGGATGAGGGAGGGGCAGAGGGAAAGAGAGAATCCTAAACAGGCCCCCGAAGTGCAGCTCCATTACAGGGTCCTGAGATCTTGACATGAGCTGAAATCAGGAGTCCTATGCTTAACCAACTGAGCCACCCACGCACCGAGTGAGATTCTTTTTACTCTTAATTTTAGAGTGGGAATTATATAGGTGATTAGAATATCTTTAGTAGATATTTCTTTGTGGTATCTCTTTCCTATTTAACATTTTCTCTTCCAAAGTATGATCTTGTTTCACTTTAGGATTTACATATCTGATTAGGAGAGCATTTGTTACAGTGTTCTACAGTTAGACAAAGTTCCCTTTAGAAAGCAGTAACATGTTAGCTAGTAGTTGACTAACTTGTGAGGGACACATTGTGAATCCTGGTAACCTTTGCTGTGAGTGACCTGCAAGTCTTCCCTGGCAGAAATACCTGTCTTCCCGTTTTGTTCAAAAAAGGTATCTTAGGAATGTGTGGGTGGCTCAGTCCATTAGACGTTGGACTCTTGATTTTCGCTCAGGTTGGGATCTCAGTGTCATGAGATGGAGCCACACATCAGGCTCTGCAGTGGGCATGGAGTCTGGTTAAGGCTCACTCTCTCCCTCTCTTTTTTTTTTTTTCTCCCTCTCTCTTTGTCCCTACCCCTGCTTGTTCTCTCTTTCTCATAAATAGATAGATAGATAAATAATTCTTTTAAAAAGCCCAGTATCTTAGCACTACTGTAAAAACAGTGACAGTCTGGGGTACCTGGCTGGCTCAGTGCTCGAGCATCTGCCTTTAGCTCAGGTCATGATCCTGAGGTCCTGGGATTGAGTCTCACATCAGACTCCCCCTATGGGGAGCCTGCCTCTCCCTCTGCCTATGTCTCTGCCTCTCTCTCTATCTCTCATGAATAAATAAATGAAATCTTTAAAAAACCCACAGAACAGTGACAGTTGGAAGAGTTAAGTTTTGAGCTTTTGGAAAGGGGAATGGTTCTCTTAATGCATATTCCTGACCAGGTCCACTTGTTATTGATGTAGCAGCAATTCATTTGTCTGCAACTGAATTTAGTTCAAAGGAGAATCTTTTGCGTAGTTTTATTGTTTTTTTTTTTTTTTAAGATTTTATTTGAGAGAGTGAGCGAGAGTGGAGGAGGGGCAGAGGGATAGGGAGAAGCAGACTCCCCTGATGAGCAGGGAGCCCAGTGTGGGGCTCACCCCAGGGCTCTGAGATAATGACCTGATCTGAAGGCAAATGCTTAACAGACTGAGTCACCAGGCACCCATCTTTTGCTTAGTTGTGAGGAAACAGTTTAGGGTTTGATATTGTGCCAAGTTTCTCCCCCCTCCGCCCCCAGTTTTCTGCATATTAATGGTGCAGTGGAGTA